AAGTCCCGTTTCGTTTGTACAAGCTCCGAAAGGAAACTGGTGTTTTCCTCATTGAAATAAATAGAGTTGACCCATAGCTGTTAGATTCTACTTGGCTGGCATTAAATCCCATATGAATGAACTGAGCTTGAACTTGAAGAGAAAGCGAAACCTCATCTGTAACTTCTACGGAATCATTAAGGGGTTTCGAAGAAAGCTGTCCTTGTTTGAATTGCAAATGCAAGAAAAATGGTTGCTCATTTTCCCGATCACAAAAGATGTTATAATTTTCGGATGTCAAATATTTGTGATTTGAAGAGCTATTTTAAGAGAAATTTTCAAAGATTGAAGGAAGAGAGGAAGAGCAGAAATCTCTTGTTCCAGAGTCCGCCTGATTGCAAGCTTGATGATGCACCAGTTGAACTAGAGTTGGAGGTAAATGAGTTGCAAGCAAAAAACTTTGTCTAACAGAAGCACAGAGAAGAAAAAGGTTGGAAGTGCACCACTGCTTATTTGATGCTGAATTTCCGGAGTGGAAGAAATTTCCAGCTAGGATGACATCAGTGTTTGGAACAACTTACGTCTGTGAGCAAACATTCTCAAAAACGAAGTATGTGAAGTCAATGCATTGAACGGGACTTAGTGATGAAAATTTGTAAGCAATCCTCTTGATTGCGGCAATTCCAAACCAAAGTTCAATTTCACAAATCTCAGTTATGCTTCTGCCACTTAGTTTGTTCCATCCGAAGGTGTGCACAAAACGACTGGGACAACTAAATTCTGCGTACGTTGCTTCCGTTTATAATACGTATCCTTAATATGTTCATTTTTTGTATATTGAACGCAACTCACTCATGTTTATTAACATGGAATGCTGAATGAAGTTTAGTCATTTTTCGCTCATATCTTTACCTGTGGCACGCGAGTATCGTACAGAAATACAATCCGGCCAACGGCAGTCGTATAGTGTTGGTAATCTGGTGAGCCCTGTTCCAGGTGATTAAGCTGGTCAGCAATGAGTTCAAACCTCATTGTGCTCACTGGTGTGCGTATGGGTTAAGCAGGCTGACCACTCAGTGACCTTCATCATTAATCATCATCATACACGTCAGCTAGAGGTGGGAAACACCTCAGCTACTGTGACGCAATACATAAAGGATAAGAAAAATAAATACAACAGTTGCATGCCAGCTGAGCTACCAGCAACCGATAGGCATCGTTCCGGTAAGCTACCAGCCGGCTACTAGGCAAAAAGACAAGTTATCATGTTTTACGTTACGAAATGAGATGGTAGATGGAGGGGGAGGCTAAAGGGGATGAGGTGGGACAACGAAACACACAGCACGAACGCCAGTGAGGTCGGCTCCTAGCCATGTCAGCAAGTGTATCCAGCCAAAGGTGTTCATCGTCCTTTGGATCCCAACCAGGGAGCCGAGACTCTCCAACCAAAGCCAGCTCAGAAGTGAGGGCCTTCATTCCTTTCGATCAAGTCATCGTTTGGCCACCCTCCTCCTCTGCCATCCACAACCCCGGTGAACAAATAACGCACGTCGTGGAAGTCGGTGGGCTGACATGCGCAACACGTAGCCCAGCCATTGGAGCCTGGTGAGTGAAATGACGGTGCTGAGCGGTTCACTTCCTTTTCCTGTGCCGTAAACAAGGTGTCGAACATGCTCGTTACCCACGCGGTGTTCCCACCAGATGTGAGCTAAATTACGAAGGCACCGGTGGTCGAACGTAACCAGCCTCTTCAGGTCCGCCGCTTTAATGGTCCAGGTTTCACAACCGTACAGTAGGGTTGAACGTACCGCTGCACTGTACATTCTACCCTTCAGGGCAAGAGTAATGTCGCACCGGCGCCATAAGTGGCGAAGGTTAGCGAAAGCACTTCGAGCTTTTGCTATACGGTTCGTGATCTCGTCTTCGATCCCAGGTGTGCTGATACAACTTCCCAGGTAGTTGAATTTCCGAACGACTTCTAGCTGATCCCCACCAAGGTTCGGCGTAGGTGGTGATCCCTGCTCATCTTGGATGGACGCTTTGCGTTTCCATGGTGCAAAGCAAAGCCCGAAGCTGCTGACAGCCAGTGCTAATCTGTCCAGCGCGACCAGTATATCAATATACCTGCTGCTAGCATGACTTATGGTTTAACGATGTTACTGTCTGGTCTCCAGATGTGTGATAAAGATAAAAGTCTGAGTGTTGTTGAAACTTCACAATAACGTTCTCAGAACCCTACAAGGTAGACGCAGTAATGTTCTTCGTAATGATGTCGAGGATACAGTGCCTACATTAGGAGATGATAGCTAGAGTAGTTAAAAAAACAATTTCTACGTGAAAACAAGTATGACCCACTTTTCTGAGACTCTAACCCCCTGAGTTCAATACACATGAAGATAAAGGATTTTTATCAAACGTTACCTGAAACGTTACAAAATCTTTCATCGCGCTACATTCCAGTTAGCTTGCAGGTTACAACGATTAGCCATCGGTGTCATGCCTTAGTGTCTGGCTAGGGGAGCAAGAGGCTAGTGGTCATGGGTTCGCGTCCTGATGCAGCCCAAGGATGAGCACCCCCTGTTGAGTCCCAATAGGAAGAAACGATCGTCTGGTGCTTTTTCGCATTGGTGGTCAGATTGTCCAGCTGGCGAGCTGCTGGGACTAATCAGTAAAATGCTATCAAAAATGCACCTACCCATCAACAGTTGTAACAATATTTTCTTTATAATAATGAGGACGATAATGTACCTGTTCTAATGGACAATATATCGGTTGGTTATACTAAAAGTCCGGTGGTGGAACAGGGAGGGAAACAGGCTTCTCACGTTAGAAGCAATTTGCGGATTCATTTAAGTAATTTTTCACGCCAAGTTCAGCAGCGAACTGCCACCTCTGGGTAGGAAAAAATGGCTGAAGGACAGAGCTGAAGAGGACGCAGTATAGGACATCGTCATCATTATACACATTAGCTAGAGGTGGAAAACACCTCAGCTACTGTTTTGCAAAACATAAAAGAAAAATGCAACAGATTCATACCAGCAACGGATAGGCATCGTTCCGGAAAGCAATCAGCCGGCAACTAAGCAGCAAAAAAATTTTATTATGCAAAATTTTATTATGCTAAGAAATGAGAGGGTGGTTGGAGGGGAAAGCTAAAAGGGATGGGGATAGACAAGGAAAATCACAGCACGAACCTCATTGAGGTCGGCTCCTAGCCATATCAACAAGTGTGTCCAACCAAACGTGTTCATCGTCTTTCGGACCCCAACCAGGCAGCCGAGACGCTCCAACCGAGGCCAGCTCCGAAGTGAGGGCCTTCATTCCTCTGGACCAAGTCATCGCTTGGCCACCCCTCCTCTTTTTCCATCCGCACCCGCGGCGCGCAAACAACGCACGTCGCGAGAGCCGGTGGGTTGGCATGCGTAACACGTGGCCCAGCCATCGGAGCCTGGTGCGTGAAATAACGGTGCTGAGCGGTTCGCTTCTGCGTCCTGCGCCATAAACAAGGCGTCGAACACGCTTATTGCTCACACGGTGTTCGCACAAGATGTGAGCTAAACTGCGAACGCAACTGCAGTTTTTATCAAGGAACACTGTTAATGAAAACAACGAAGTCTCAGATGGGTCGAAGACCAATGCCCCCTTCAACATTCAGCCAAGGGGCAGGACGGCACTTGAATAAAACAAAGCACTCTTTTCAATGTTAGCGACAAAACAACCGATGTAAAGGACCGTGTCTGTGGTATGAGCAGGATAAGAGACATCAAAAATATAATGAAAGTATATAGCGCTGTACAGGTGCACGTAGACCATGTGCTTAGTCGACACAGTTGACATCAGCGACATGTTGAAGGTCCGCATAACAAAAGGAAGTAGAACTAGAATCTACGAGGCTAGTACGCGTGTGCAAATTAGACATGAGCATCCGAGTGTGCTTCCTTTACGCATAGTAACAGGGACAAGTAGTGGACAGATACTGACATGGGGATAAAAAGTCCGCCGAAAGACTTAGCGACAAAACTACAGGCGGAAATAAGTGAGCACACAGAGCAGCTTTTCTAGATGCGTGAATAATGGATCGGCTTCGGAGCCAAGATGACCGGTAACCGGCGAATCCCAAGACCGAAAATAGAAAGTGATTCTGTTTTGGGATAGACATCCACCAATGGAAATCCGTTACTCAAGGATAATCTTAGCAACTAATTGGTACAAGACATTAAGCTGAAACTGACTCTGTGTGTACAGAAGCAACTGACGTTGGCAGTCCTAAAGCTTCCGCGGGATTCATGACCTTTGCTATTTGTTGGTGTGCATCGTTGGAGTTTCTATGTTGTATCAGTTTAAAACGATCGTTTTCCACTCTCAGATTACCTATATATGTTGTTAGTTCGCAAGTGAGCAGATAACACGAAACGGTGCAACCTTGTAGTGCTCGTCTTCGGATAATCTTAGCAGTTTAGTGGGCTCATTGACCCATTATACAAGGCCGGCAATTATCACTTTTTTCGACTCTAGTTACATCGCACAGGACAATGCGTAGGAGTCAGAGCGGGGAGAGTATAATGGCTCACAACACCTCAAATTCAGCTAAGAGAGACAGCTAATCCAGACTGCAAGCTCCACTTGATTGGTGTGTAAAGCAAAATCACCGCCGTTGTCTCTGACGATAGAAGAACAAAGCTGTTGCTCATGTATTTGATGCCGCAGTCATAAAGCAACGAAGTGTAAAAACTCGCGGAAGCCTACTCATGATCCACCATGGTCATAGGTATGCCAAATGATCATGTCAAAAGCATAGAAACGGTACTGGACCATAGTAGACTATAAATGGGAAATGTTACCCGAAAAGTACATCCGATAAGAACGTGCTAGCATGATTATTTCGGGTTATTCGTTGACCGATGGGTTCCAAGTGAAGCGATGCCTCAGACATGTTAACAATAATTGAGAAAATGCAAAAAAGATTGAGAATTGCGACTGTGCAGACTCGAAGCGAGCTTTTAAATGCGATCTCAGCTTACTTGGGGAGTCCACAAAAGAGAGCAAACGGCGCAATGTGGTGGATACTTCCCAATCAGATTGTTAAAATATCGTTCCAGACCGAAGTTCGATCGCTCTTCGTGCCACAAAGACGAAAGAAATGGAAGATGACGGAGGTGGAAGGGAATCCGCGATTTTCGGAAATCTGTGTGCATAGATACGGAGTACAATGATTTCATGAGCAACATCAAATTGCACTTCCGAAGAAAACAGAAGAGGAGCAAGACAAATGTGTTGAAGTAAGCTTTTGAAGTGAACAGGGATGTTAAAAGTTCACTAACAAATGGCAATGGGTGTTTAAAATGGACGACAGATGATGGTATGGACACAGTAGTTCAAGAAGTGATCTAAACATCGCGGCACTTTTAGACCATGAGAGAGTAATTAACAAGTGCAACCCTATTGGACAGCTACTCAACTCGGAGCCAACAGGCAACCAACTGCAGCAGCCGTTTAAAGTAAATAAAGCTGGTAACTATGGGAACAGTGGTTGAACTGAAGGAAAAGTAACGCGACATAAGTAATTTAAGAAACCACAAAAAGCATGAAAAAAACTGAATTCTTTCAAACCGCTAACGGGTCTGAAAAGAAATGCGGAAGCGCGTAACTTGGCACAGCGAATACACCAGTCTGTATAACACCCCTCTGATTCACTTTACCCAATTACCTGACTTCATTCGATAGGCTGTCACTACAGAACTGGAGACTGAAGCAATCCAGCCATGCATGCATTCATCTCTGAGAAAATGAAATATACAGGAGCTTGCTCCGACCCCACTCAATAGCTAATTGTACACGGTTATTCGGTGATCAGAAACCAGGTAAGCTCAAGTCACTAGTTATCTTCCCAATGGATTACTATTAAGGAGACGTAAAACAGTCAGCGTACCATTGAAGCCTGCCGATCATGTTTATAGCTTAAAGAGCAGATTGAAGACACGTTTCGTTCACAAGGATAGCTGACTGCGAGGTGAAGTTCAGAGAGGTAGGAAAGCCAGAGCATCTGTGGATTAGCGTCCACGTGCGATAAGTCAAATCAGAAAGAATCAAGATAGTTATGAAAGATTGCGTAATCCGAACCAATGAGCGCATGTTGACTACGCTATCGTACAGTGCGAGAAAACGGTTGCGCGGGAATCGTAAGCATGCTAGTCGGTAAATCGAGAGCCACTAACAGAAGCAACTGAATCAAGTCTATCGATACAGTCTGAAGGCCAACTAAAAGAGTTAGATAACATCGAATGCAATCGAGTTTGCATCTCTGGGATAGCGTAGTGAATTCAGCCAAAAGGTGAATGTTTAGGCGAGAGAGCGCAGTAAGTACAAACTGCAGCCGGTAAAGATGCAGATGAGGAAAGAGCAGAGTTTAGTTTACTCAACCATGAACGACCCGTGCAGCGAATGACAGTGGACTCAATTGAGTAGCTCCTGTTGTCAATAATAGGGAATGAGCACAGGATCGAGAAATGAGGGGAAATGAGAATAGAGAAACAATTCGACACAGCACATGGAGCAGCTAAAGGTCAGTGATTTTGATACCACACCATGTCAGACAGGGCACCCAGATGCGGCTGATTTCGAAGGCTACATCTGGGAAGAAAACTTGTACCAGCCCGAGCGGTCTGTTCGTGAGTCGATGCGTGTGCATGGATACCATGAGGTTTCCCACAAGGGAATGCAATATTGGCCAACGACAAAGGTTTCATCGCCGTCACCCATGGCCTAATGACGTAAGCAGCTGGCTAGTGGCAAAAGACGCTAGTGGTCATGGGTTCGGATCGTGATGAAGCCGAGGTATGCGCACTACTGACGGGTCGCGACAAGACAAAACAATTAGTTAGTTCGCTTTCAAGGATATGGAGCACTAATTGGGAAGCTACGGCGGAGTCACAACAATTAAATAAAATACTCAATAAATTATCAGTGTTCAACTGTGGAAAGATTACTGAAAATACACGAAAATAGGAAGCGCGTAATAGCTTGGCGTTTTTGTATGTATCCGGTCTGTACAACGAAACCCACCAACAAGCGAAAGTCGAAGATCAATAAGATTCAGGTCGCCAATTGTGAATTTGGTGGAAATCGGTACACGGCAAGCGCGACTACCGCGACTTGAAGTTGTCGGCAACAACTCCTTTACACGAGAGCATTTGTCGTCATTCGAATCGATTAAATCCATGATGTCAGAGTGTTTTGGTTGGTCGCTGGAAGTCAAGTATTCGTCTAAAGGGTGAGGTCTCCTATCACGTCCGTTTAACCAGTCATCATAAACATCTGGTTGATAGAGGCGCACGAAGGGGTCCATTGAGATCCTCACGGTATCGTCCCAGCAAGTACATACCTTGGCCTTTTTGCCATATTCGATCCATCGTGGAAGAGCGAAGTTAATCGATTCTGCGATATTGAGGCCCATATTGAATCCAGCATGGTAAGCGTATGGAAAGGTGATGATGAACTCTCCGCAGCGCTGGACAATCTGAACAGATCAAGCTATAAGTGAACAGCGGATGGATACCAACCTTTCTGGTGGGAATCCCGGCGCTGGCCAGAACGGAAGGACTGATTAAAACGCATTTATGGCGGAGAAAACAAGGACAAGTAATGAAGTCCGATCTAAAATATTCTGAGAGATAAAATATGATCTGAGGTTGCTTACCAAAAACGAACGCTTCAAATTTGCGAGCGAAAGCAGGTGGGATTACGTACCAATGTTTCGGAGCACCGAAATGAACGTAATTGATCGAGTAGAGTTCGACATCTTCAACATGCCAGGGAAAAGTGGCCCTCCACATGCCGTAGTAAAGGTATGGAGTGTTCACACCTGGAATACGGACATTCTCAGATTTCAGCACATAGCTGAGTATTGAATCCAGCTCAGCGACATTCCAGATGTCTTGCCCTCTCATCAAGCTACCGTTGACGTTTGCGCCATAGATAGGACGGCCGGTTCCTATGGAGGACCAGTACTTTTTTTCCAGATGCTCCCAATTCCGGTGTTTCGGTGTACGATAGGGGTCTGCAGAAGCCATATCTTTGAAACACTTAAAAGACATGCTTTTCATTGGTGCTATGTCCTGAATTATTAGTAAAAGAGCCGGCTTACTTGTAGAAAAATACCCCTACTGCCATGAGTGATCTGACGAACTGGTTTTTCGACTATAAAATCCTCTATATCGTTATAGCCACCAGACCGTGCTTCCCAGTTAGAAGGTGGAATAACTTTGCACAATCCGACATGGTGCGCGCCAAGCTCTTCAATCGTTGAGACACATTTGGTGAAATCATGAAATTCATCGAAGGTTGGCTCGTAGATCGGAATATCAGGCAAAGATGTGGGGCTCATAGCCTAATGACTAGAGGCAACAGCTTAAAGGGACTCACTTCTGTCTTCTCTATTTTGCGAGAGCTCGCTAACCCGTGTGGAGAATGTGACATCTGTTTGGAACCATAGCTGAAGAGGGAAATTGTAGGCTTATGAAGAATGAGGTGGTCCCGGAAAAGTCACGCAGTGAAGTGAACAAACAAACTGCGGTAAAAGTTCAGTTCAAGTAAACAACTGCGATCCATGTGTCGAAGTGTGGTGGATCCATTAGAAAGGACTCACGTCGTCAGTATAACAGTAAAAAGCAAGAGTGAGAAGTGAAGCAGGATTCAGGGAGAATACAAAAAGGTCGCTTAAAGAGGGAAATAATTGTGATGGAATTTTAGCAGCTAGAAACAAGAAACAGAACGAAGACACGTCATCGACTGGGAGTCGGTTAGGAGAAAAGACGAGGTTGGCGACGCCATCTAAGAGCATCCAGGTGTCACACAAAACGCTTGAGCTGGACTAAATGGCCCTCGCAGTACCATTAGCCCACGTGCGACCGCTTGTGGTTGCCCGGTAGCCAAGCATCGGTACTAGGTACCGGCGTATTGCGGTTGCCTGACCATATATACCCTGACGACATTCCCTGACAGCGAGATCTTACGCTCTATAACTCAATGCATTAAAGAAATTTCCGTCTAATGTGCGATAAGAGAAGCATGGCTAGATAGATAGCAATCCCAGTTAAGATACGATAAGTGAGGGTCAGGTCTCTTCAAACCCTCAATTGGTGCACTGAGTACATTCCCAAAGAAAGTAGGAGCTCAAAATGCGTTTGTCAATGTAACCCCTCGACAAACCTAGTACCCACTAGTACAGCTCTCTCCAGATCTATTTTTGTTCCGGACGAGTAGAATAAGCAAGTCCAGACACGGTGTTCTAGATGGGCCGAAAAGTGCGAAAAGCTTCATAAAAGCATCGGCCGTTAGAATTCCGAAGGAAAGCAGTAGTAATTACAACACAAGCGACTAACTGCTAGATATCGAAGATGCCACTTCGATTGGTGAAGAAACGTCTGCAATCAAATTGTTCAGCACAGATAACCAATCAGCAACTGGACTGCCAACCTGGGCTATAGACATTCCAATTTAGTCAGCTAGCCTGTTAGATAAACCTTATGGTTCTTGGATTATGCCGACCATCCGAAACACTTACAGATGTCCGCACAGATCAGCGCGAGATACAGACCAAAAAGGTGGATCAGTTGATCTGAATCATTATCAGGAGCTAATCGCAGTTCGATCGATTACCAGCCATGCTTTTATTGGTAAAGAGGTCACCAGACTTCAGAACGTCTTCTCGTATGACTGAAGCAGGTGCTCGAGGGTAGACGATGATAATCCTAGCACAATGTGAGAAGGTCATCTAAGTTACCTGAGCAGTTCTCATTGAAAGTGTGATGCCCACCGGGGTGACGTCCAAATGGTAACAAGCGACAAAAAAGTGTGTTGAAATCCCCAGCAAAACAGTGATATCCGATCTGCGAAATTTCCCAAGCAGTCGATAAAGTTAACGACAAAAGTCGCCCCTTGCTAGAGTCACAGTAGCAGTCAGCTGTAGCGAATGCGGAGGCATCCGTCGCAACGAGACTGGACCTTAACGTGGTGCGACGGTTTGCCTAATTTGATGATCCATTGAGCTATAATGAGTGGTGCCTTCAAATTTCTTGAGAGCTACTCTTCCCAGGTTAGTCAACAGTTAGAAGTCAGACAAATGCGGTCTGCCAGCACCTCAATAAGGAAGGCGAATTGCAGCCTATAGATCCACAGCAGTTTTCTTTACCGATGAAACAAAAATGTTCTCGGAAACCAAGTCCACTACTCAAATAAACAATGCGACCGCGTTGCCAAACAACCGAGTGAATAGATCAAGGAAAGGCACTCCAGGTTGAAGTAATTCACTACCCGTGGCCAAATAAGGCGTCCATGTTTTACAGGTAATTATATCGGGACGAGAGTTGCGCAAAGCAGACCTAACTCACCCTATGTGACGGGCAGCAATCGGTTCCGGATTTGTCACCGCAGGATATATATATATATATATATATATATATATATATATATATATCGCCCGCATAATGAGGATCAAGCAACCTTTCAACAAGCAGCACCTTAACGCCTGCATTAGTAAAGCTCCGCAAGAGAAAACTCCATGATGCAGACCACGGCAAAAGTGAACAAAACATGGAAATTGGACAACCTAGACGAATGCACGTGCTATCGGAAAGACATCCCATGTCACCGTAAACCCAGAAGCGGCCGGTCGTGTCCGAGGATGGAGTGCTTGAAACGTTTACACATTTCATGGGAACATATCCGCGCAATTAGTTCGAACAAATTGCATCGATCTACTGAATCGAGCGGACTCTAGAAGTCGAGGAATACCGGTATCGTCGATCTGTGATGTGCGTGGCGCTGTTCTAGCACCTGCCGCAAAGTCACTATGTGATACCTACAGAACCTTGCTGAACGAAAACCTGCCCGCTCTTTCTTAATACGGGAATCCTATTCCGCAGAGAGGCAACGAATGAGAATTGAGGCTAGCAATTTTGTCACAACCGGTATTAGACTACTACCCAGTGGTTAGAACGGTTTGTGCGAGTACCCTTTTGTATATTGCCACTTTAATCGATTCACACCGGTCAGCCGCGAAGCTCTTTTTTCCAGGAATGATCGAACACGATAGTCATTGCTTTGCAAAGGATCTCAACTCCATCCATAAATGGTGCAGGGAAAGGTAATCCAGGTAAGCAGCAAGAAAACAATCGTGGGCTGTGATCGCGTTTCGGACCCCTACCTCCAGTGAAGACTAAACTAACCATCCATGGTTCATCGTGCACCACCTGAGTAGGAAAAGGTAAGGAAGCAGTGGGTCAACTTAACTGACCTTGAAAGTGCTCCGTCCGACGTGCCATACAGTGCTCCTTATTGGGATTTATGGCACCCGCACTGCCTCGGATTGTCTCACCGAACCTACTTTAATGGGTCTAATGATGCGGATCAGCTGGTAGAGCTTCCGATAATCGCTTACTTCTCCCGCCTCCTCTATTCCCTGAGCTCGACTGGTCCACCAGACTCCCATATCAGCGCACAGACTCTGCTTTAGTTCGCACCTAATGGTTCGTCTAGTCACATTGTGCTCAGAGATAGCAAGCAGTTTCCTTCTAGATTTCAACAGGTTCACCAACCTCTCCGACATCCAGTGACTGGTGCGGTGACGATAGATGGTATCACAAGCGGATGCTCCTGCGTCGTGCATGGTGGCCAGGATCCTATTCCATTGAAGCTCAGTGTCATTAGGACAAGAGAGCGAAAGTTCGGTACGCAGTGCGTCTTGATAGGCTTGTCTGACCGAGGGCTGAGATAACTTCTCAATTGCCAATCAAGATGGATGCTTGGTGCGCCTCCCGGTAAACTTCATGGAGAAATGATAACATACAAGGGCATGATCAGATTTAAGGCAAGTACTCCAGAATGAGCGGTAATCCAGGATGGAACAACCGTACCTGTAACATATGGTAATGTGGGTCTATCGCTGGCCAGTTACAGGAGGACGCCAGGTAGCATTTCGGCACCCACTGTGTCTACAAACAGTGCTACTGGGCAACAACTGGTGCGACACGCACAGTTGCAACGGACGCTCGCCGTTGTCAGTCCGTTCGGAGTTAAGCCCATAATTACCACCCAGTTGAGCTTCTGAAGAGTTCATACGCTCTAGTTGTGCGTTCATATCCCCTGCAAGTATTATAATAGCTGAACTAGTAACATTGTGCAGTAGCGTGTTCAGTTCGTGATAGAATGTGTCCTTGATAGCATTAGAACTGCAGTCGGTGGGTGTATAAGCGGAAATAACAAACAAACATTGTTTTGTACTGCTTCGTAAATCAATTTTAGTAGTTGTCGGCAAACGTACTGCACTCAAACGGCTGTTACACGGAATCCAATCAACCAACGATGGGTCAGCCTTGGAGCTTAGAATGATATCTACACCAGCTTGACCCGCGAGTGCTGCATCAGCGTCTCCGGATGCATGCAACCAGTAGCGAGAGGACAAGCTGGGTGCAGCTAACACAACAACCCTATTAGGGTCATTGATTCTAGTTTCGGACATAAAACACATCAATACCCACTGTGTCCCGGGTGCGTGCAAGTGCAGTCTGTTGACCTATTTGTCTTAGAGTGCGAACGTTGAAGGCCACCAGAGAAAGGGGACAGCATGACTTTATGAAGGACTGTTGTCGATAGGCATCCGATGGGTGTTATAAGAAGTTGGCTGCAGATGGTTTTACTCCAGTGGCACTTCTATTGCTGCCAAATAATCTGGAAATTATAGATGGAAGGTTAGTAATGAGAGTCGGGATGGGAGTAAAAGAAACAGGTAGGAAAGGAAGATGAGAGACACGAGCAGTGGCATATATTGGCTTATCCTCCCCGCTGTATGCAGCAGATAAGGCGATTCTTGATGAGCTGCGTGACGGCCGATGCAGGATGAACTTTATGTTCGAAGAAAATGTCATGGTTGCATTTGGGTTGAGAGACTGCTAGGGCGCCCAGATGTATACAGGAGGACGATTAAGGTTCTCACCCAATGCCAATGGCTCAACAGCCTGTCCGCAAGGCAGCGGGGAGGTAGGAATGATTTAGTTTTACAGTAATGGATGCCATCTCATCTCCAACTTTAACCTGGAGGAGCAAGAGCCTGAATTTGTCTGACCTATAAACATGGACCAGATATCAACAGTACGCCGATACGTAGTACATACAATTCGTTACCGTGCAGCCACCGCCAATTGTACGCAGGCTAAGGATACAGCGATGGTAGCCCGGTCCCTAGACAGGCTTCAGCCTGAAGGATTGTGATCTGTAAGGCAATAGGCGGACAACCTTTGGCAAACCTAGTGCAACGCGTTGCCACAAGCTACAGTTACGGTTGTTCCATCCTGGATTACCGCTCATTCTGGAGTACTTGCCTTAAATCTGATCATGCCCTTGTATGTTATCATTTCTCCATGAAGTTTACCGGGAGGCGCACCAAGCATCCATCTTGATTGGCAATTGAGAAGTTATCTCAGCCCTCGGTCAGACA